CAATCCACCCATTTCGAGGCCTAGCACCTGACACTCGTTCCTCTCTCCTATTTTACGTGGGATCTCACAAAATTAATAACATAACGGAACGTTTGTAATATTGAATAATAAAATAAGTTAGAAGAAAATTAAAAATTAAAATATCTTGATTTTTGGGTTTGATATAATAAATGCATTTTGTTTAATTTAAGTAATAATTAGATACATAGTTGTTGGAGTATTAAAATTTTATAATACACATTATGTAAGGTTGATGGATGTCGTATTCACATTTAATGTATTATAGCGGTGGTAGCTTAATTTTATATTACACTATTTGAGAAAATAATAATATTTAATGACTAAAAGAAAAAAAGGGAATTTGTTAAAATTTGATTTTCAATTTCAACTGCCGTAGCGGAGATACGCGGTCCTGAATTCTCCCAATAAAAGGGGCGGCCGCTAGGTTTTCCATCTCAAACGAGTTCTTCTCTTCATCAAATCGTCATCGCCATTTCTATATTTTCAATCTATCGATCGTTTTTTTTTCTCTCTCTAATCCCTGTTCTTAGATTTTAGCGGTTGAATTGGGATCTCGGTTTGAAAATTTGGCGTTGATTTAGGTGAGTGGGTGATCGGTGTGGTGTGAATTGAATTGGGGGGAATTCTTTTTGGAGTTCTGTGAATTTTGATTTGGTTGAAGGGGGATTATTGATTGAGTTATTTAATTTGTTTGTTCGGTTGGGGAATTTGGCGATTAGGGTTTTGGGTTCGTGATATGTGAAAGGAGTTTTTTCGTGTGAAGATGCCAGCTACAGATTATCAGGGTTCATCGGCTGCTTGGGGTGTTCGGCGAGATCAGCTCTACGCTATGAATGGTTCTCCGACGCCTCATGAACAGGATCTTGATGGGTTTCAGAGGCAAGTTGCTGATCGGTTCTTAGAGCTTGCGTCGGTTGGTGCTGATGATTTGCTTTCCTTGTCTTGGGTTCAGAAACTTTTGGATTCCTTTTTGTGCTGTCAGGAGGAGTTTAAGCTCATTCTCGACAGCCAAAAATCTCTAATCTCTAAAGCTCCATTGGATCGATTGGTTGCTGATTATTCGGAGCGTAGCGTTAAGGCACTTGATGTGTGTAATGCGATTCGTGATGGGGTTGAGCAGCTGCGGCAATGGCAGAAGCTCTTGGAGATTGTTGTCAGTGCGTTGGACAATTGTAATCACCAGAAAACTCTTGGGGAGGGCCAATTTCGTCGCGCTAAGAAGGCCCTCACCGATTTGGCTATCTGTATGCTCGATGAGAAAGATTCGCATACCTCTTTCCTTGCCCACCGCAACCGTTCTTTCGGACGGAACAATGTCACGAAAGATTCACGGTCTTTGGGCCACTTTCGATCTCTGTCATGGAGCGTTTCGCGATCGTGGTCGGCCGCACGGCAGCTACAATCGATTGGTAACAATTTGGCGGCCCCTAAAGCGACTGAGCTTTTGGCTACTAATGGGCTTGCAGTTCCTATTTTCACCATGAACATGGTGTTATTGTTTGTAATGTGGGCGCTGGTAGCGGCTATTCCTTGCCAGGATCGGGGTTTGCAGGTTCATTTCTCGTTGCCTCGGAGTTTCCCATGGGCGGCTCCAATCCTTCAACTCCATGATCGAATTGTGGAGGAGTCCAGGAAGAGAGATCGAAGGAATTCCTGTGGGCTGTTGAAGGAGATTCATCAGATCGAAAAGTGCGCGCGTCTCATGAATGATTTGGCCGATGCAGCTCAGTTCCCGTTGGCTGAGGAGAAAGAAGCAGAGCTGAGACAGAGAGTGCAAGAGCTAACCGGGGTTTGTAATACTCTGAGGACTGGATTGGACTCAATGGAGCGGCAGGTGAGGGAAGTTTTTCACAGGATTGTTCGCAGCAGGACTGAAGGGCTAGACTCTTTGGGACGAGCTAACCACTCTGAATAGAATCGTTGGAGTTTCAGAAACATGTTCTACTTGGGTTTTCATGGTTTCTAGGAATAAGAGAAAGAACAGAGGATGGAAATATGAAGACGAGAGTGACGATTATGAAATGGTGAGGGGGCTCTGTATTTATTTACTCATAGCATATATCTGTGTAAAGAAATTTGGATTTGAAAACATTGGCATGGATCTTCTCCATCGAAGTCGTGGTAATGTCATATTTATCAGCCTATGGCTGACATGTATCGTTCATTGTTACACAGTTGTCTGTTGATCCATGTTTTATACGAACTCTACTGCAAAAGATGACATTATTGTCAAAATTTTCATTTGTTTCTGTCAATTTAGACATGCTCTCTCAGTCTTCTTCTAGATCTTGTGAGAAAATCTTAGAGTTCGTGCACTCTGGAAATCTTATTTGTTTCAGGGATAGCTTCTGTAAAACTCTCTTCCATCCCGTTGTAATTGGGATCTCTTACTTGTTTTATGAGATGGGAAGGGGAACTTCCTCTCTTCTCCTCCCCAATAAACCTCCTTGGGAAGTATGATATAATCATTTCGAACGCCGAAGTCTTCTTCGATCCTTTTGGATTGATTTGCTTCTCCACTTTTGAAATACTATGTTGAAGTTTATATAACGTTTTGATGCACTGAAAAGACAGAATGAAGTGTTGCTGCTACGACTGTTTCCAAGAACAGAGGATCAAAATTTCAGTGGAACATGTTACGCAATGACAAAGCAGTTTTTCAAACAAACCCATTAGTATTTTTTGTTGTTTCTGACCAGATCAATGAATGTGTTTTAGTTTGTCTGACCAGGATGGGAGAATCTATCCTGCATCACTCTGGTTTGTGGCTACAATGAAGGATATGGTGGTTGGATTCTACGCTCCGAGGTGCCAGTCATGTTCCTCGTTAGCGAGCATGGAACATCGTTACTGACAGAATGCAAGGTATTGTGTGGAAGCTTTGACAATTGGTAAGCATACTGATCTCCCTAATCTGATTACTTTATTACAGAGATCTGATATTGATTTGGTCATCCTCAGGAGATCCGCTAAGATCGAGGATGCTGACCCTTGAAGGAAGGAGTTTGACAACTTGGTCAGCTAAATGGTAAGAATTATTCTTACACTTTTGGTCAAAGTCTAAATTTGACTCATAAAATTTATCCCCACCATGTTTGACTCTCCCCTTTCTCCACAACATTTTTTTACAGTGTTCGTCATAAAGTTACTCCATACGCTGCATTGAGAGTCTGAGACTTGGAGCTTTCAGCTGCTTTGTTTGTTGTCAAGAATCGAGGTAAGACCTTGTCTCACGCTACTGTTGGTAGTTGAAATTCATGTTTTTTCTTGTTGGGTTCATCAAGGGTTGTTTATTCATTCCTTGTCTGGTTGTGGTTGGTACTTGGTTCTTTGTTTGCTTTAGTTATGATGATGCTTCTCTGTTTTGTTTTAATTACCCTCTTGGATAATTTTGCTGCTTCCGTTTCTCATGAATCTCCCAAAAGCTTTCTTCCCATTTGAATGCTTTGTGTTTCTTTCTGCCTCTGCCTTCCTTTGCCTTTTTTTTTCTTTTTGTAATATGATCTTTCTTGATCACCCCTTCTATAAAAGTCTACATTTTTCGAGGTCTCTCCTCCAGTAGAGTGTGACTTCTACGGTGCCCTATCTAAACCTTCATCCAATTTCTATTAGGTGCTGGTTGTTGGATTATGTAACAGCCCAAGCCCAAGCCCACCGAGTCCACCACAAGCAGATATTTTCTGTTTTGGTCCATTATGTATCGCCGTTAGCCTCACGGTTTTAAAACGCGTTTACTAGGAGAGGTTTTCACACCCTTATAAGAAATGTTTCGTTTCTCTCTTCAACCGATATAGAATCTCACAATCCATATTCCTTTAGGAGCCCAATGTCCTTGTTGGTACACTGATCGATGTTTGGCTCTGATACCATTTGTAACCGTCTAAGTCTATCGTTAGCAAATATTGTCCGCTATGGCCCGCTGTGTATCGCCGTCAGCCTCACAATTTTAAAATGCGTCTACTAGAGAGAATGTTTCGTTCTTAATTTCCTTATAATGAACTCCACTGATGACCAAGGTCCCTCTTCTGGTAGAGGTCGACATTTACTGTGCCCTGTAATCTTACATTCCCCTAACAAAAAATGTAACGTTCTCCCATTTTTTTTTTTGTTAGTGATGGTTTTTGTGGTATGGCCCTTCTAGTGGATTCCTTCTGATAATTGAATCCCATATAGGACCCTCATTTTTCTAGAGTTCGACGTTTGGGAATTCTGGTTTCTTCCTGTCCTACTCGATTCCGATCCTTTCGGGTGGCCCTTACCATGCTCTCCACAGCTGATGAACAACTGGCTTTGGCCTACAAATCATCTTTTGATGTTAACGCTTCCTTTTCTGCTAGCCATTAGTTCATGATATTCTTTTCATGATACCTTAGCAGACAGATCGCCCACCAAAAATCAATATCTTTCAGCAAGAAAAGACACCTTTGATTATATGTTTACAAATTTGACCATTCATTCAGAAACTTGAAAGATTTGTTTGCCCCTGTATTTAATGAAACATTATATGATATCCCGAGCCTATGGTGACCGAACAATATGTTCTTGCCAATAATCACAAACCAAATTATTAAACTAAAAGCCAATGTAAAACGAATCCTTAGGGGCCAAGCCGTGTAGAAAGAATTAAGAACAATAAGACCGAATCACATGGAACACACGGTGTCGTTATGCAATTAGAAAGCTACATGTTACTAATTATACAACTTTGTAACAAGTGTCCTCCATAACTTTGAGCTACTATTATCCTTTGCCTTCACCACATTGTATGTTCGACTGGATTTTTCTACTTAAATTGCCTTGTCCATTCATTTGGCCATAAGCAAATAGCATATCCATTCGAATACGAGAATACGACTTCTTACCAAACGGTTAGATTGGTAAATTTCCTCACCAGTTTTGCATATCATTTTTTATTTTTCAGTCAACGATCTCCAAAATTCAAATCTATTTATTGAAAATAATTTTGATTATTCATTTGGGATTAAAATGTAGTCTTCATAAGTTATGGTTTAGCACACTACTTCATACATAGGGGAGACTTTTTTAGAACACTTCTAGTCTTATCAACAAGTTAATCAACTCTTCCCAACTCCCTATATTTACTCTCATACATAAAAAATTGTGAGACGGGAAGTTGAGCACCTCAAAGTTTCTACTTTTATTTGCTCTAATCCACTTTGTTCTAAATATCTAACTTTACATCTTCTTTCATGTATCCTGCTGTAGTTTTGTCATTCCCTGTCAATCTCTTCTTTGATGGATGGATTGCGATCACTGGTGCTCCACACCTCAGCGATTACCAGCAAAGAATATGGTCTCAGTGACGTTAATCCTATGTCCATCTCTTCTGCTCTATTGAATGCGTCTCGTGGAAGATAAGTAGTTCACCATTTCATGGAATTCACTCGCCGAATCCCTCGTGGGGGTCGTCGCTTTTCAACCACAGGAATCACCTTTTCCATTAGCTGTACCAGGAAAATATCAAACCAGCAGTATCATTACATGTAAAATACTGCCATGTAGTTCAACTTTAACATGTCATTATAGAATGAAAACTGAGGTCACCAATTTGTCATATTTATTCAGATGAGTACATGCAGATTTTGCTTCCAATATGAATAAATATACAGACACATTCGAAAGAGAGAACATCAAGTTTAATAAGTTCTTGCCATTAATCACATCAACACGGATGATTGGGCTCAAAACTCGGTTAAATTCGAAAACATACATCACTAGGAAACTAGTTTTCTACTTTGCAAATTATAAATAAAGGAACGTAGGTATGTAAAAAGCTGTAGGACTACTAATATACAATCTATAACAGCTCGAAGAGAAGTTTCCCTCTCCGGTGGATATGTGATCTCACCAGAACTGTTTTCTTTTTTTCTTTTGGGAATATTCAATCAAGACTTGTAGCGAAAGAAATTGCTGCTTTCTAGTTTCCAATGCTAGTTGTCCTAGAATGTACCATAAAGTTCTTTTAAGACAAAGTTCTAAAAGAGGCTAAACGATAGAGGTTATCCACATAATGTTTCGATGATAGTGATCACTAATGCAATAAAATATTCGATAATCCGATATTTGATGAACATTGCTCGCAGACAAGCCAAGAGGAACGCAAATACTACATTTAACGACGGCTCTCGGTAACAGCAAAAAAATACTTCAAATTAGGTTGATGAAATTCAAATGCAAATCAAAGATTTCTTATCAACATGGAGCAAGAAAATTCATTACAACTGTTTAAACAGAACAGCTAGATTTTAGAAGAAATTCACCGTGCTATTCCTTTTAAAAAAGAAAACAAGAGAGACAGCACAAGAGAGCTGAAAGATAATAGTCAAAGCAAAACCTCTTTCATAACACAGCAATGGTAGCATCAAAGTTAGAAATCAATACCTGCTTATGCCTTTCCTTACTCCTCTCGGCCTGCAAAAGAGATCAATTTTTTAAGTGCTAAAATGTAACCAACAAAATTGCAGAACAGACAACAGTCCTCTGTTTACATAGCTACAACAAATCCATGGCCATGAGAGAGGTTTCCTTTTTTCAAATACAATAAGTTTTTGTCGACCATCAAAATAAATTTCGTGTGGCATTTAACTCATGAGTTAGGTATATATATCTCTAAGTTGTGAAGTTGAACATGCATCCCTGTAACAATTTCTTTTGCGCTTTCCCTTTCGGGTTTCCCCTCAAGATTTTAAAATGCGTCTGCTAGGGAGAGGTTTCCACACATTTATAACTAATGTTTCGTTTTCCTCCTCAACCGATGTTGAATCTTATAGTAGGCTTATTAAACTTAGATTAGAGTTTGCAAATCTCACAGGCATAAACTTGGAACTTTTGAAACTTATCTACAATGTACAAACCTATCAACCAAACAAATGCAACACTAAACCCAAAGTTTCACTTGAACAACCAAAATACAGACTCTGCAAATCCTACTTCCCAACTCTAGCCTACACTATACGAAGAATAAACCTAGATTTGTCAAAAGCAGAATTACCGCTATACATTGCTTACATTAGAAAATGGAATAATCGGGATTGAGTAACTGGCCAAGTCGCTAAAGTACTCAGTTGGATCCTACTCATCTAAGTCTCTCCATTCAGAAATGGATTATTTCCAGTCTTCAAGATCTTTGAAATAACAGCACAAATTATCGAATATTTCTTCCATTATTGTTTTCTAAATAACAAATATGGATCCACAACCATTATTCTCTCCCTTTTCCTACGCATAGTATTTTGTCTAGTAAAAAAGAATTATTTGTGTTCTTCAGGAGTATAATCAGAAATACCAATAGCTTTAACTGTTTCTTGGTCCCCCTGCAGTCTCTTTTAGTCAATAATTTTAAGCTCTTACTCACCAACTATCAAATATATCCACCATTGATCCTAATCAGACATGATTATTATGCACATCAGTAAAGATACTGCTCAAGATCTAAGATATAAAATAACAACATAAGATTAACATAAAATAAAATATTCGATGTAGCCCAATGTACTCAAATTTATACTTGTTGGGAACTAAAAAACAGGGAATTAAAATGGGATTTCATAAAAGAGAGACTTCAGGGAGGTCTGAAGGATCAAATGGAAGGTGAAAAGTTCAGGCTCCAATACATAGTAAGATCTCTCTGGATCAATATAATGATAGCTTGTAGCTTTCATAAGAAGAAAAGCAATCTCTGACGCGTCCTGGATTCGAATCCCACTTTGAGATTCTCAAAAAACTTACAAACTCTTAAGCAACTTTCTCCGACAGGCAAATGCAAGCAATAACAAATAGATCCCAAATCCAGTGGAACAGAAAATTGAATAAAAAAGACGTTCTCATATGTATGATATCGAAAATAAAAGTACCTTTTCTCTCAAAAGCCGCTCGTTCTCCTCCTCTAATTTTGCAACTAACGACTCTAACTCCACTTGATAAGCCTGAGATCGAAAAACCAAACAGCAAAAGTATACCATGAAATACATTTCAAACAAGAATCAAAGCTGAAAGTTGTTTTTGTTTATAAAGAGCACAAACAGTCACCTGCTTCCTTTCCCTAGACCTTGCAGCAGACTCCCTATTCTTGATCATCCTCCTCTGTCTTTGCTCAGCAGCCTTATCCAAGGGCTCCAAGGCAGCTCGCCCTCTTTTCCCTCTCCCCACACTTCCTCCACTGCCAACCAAATCAACCCCACTCCCAAATCCCACAATGGATCCTTCAACCTTTTCCACTGCCTGAAACGAGCTGCCTGGAATTGAATCAAACGAAAAAATCCCTCCACTCAGCCTCTCCGTCTGCGGCAATTTGACATCCTCGACAGGCGCAGCTCCAGTTTTCACAAGAAAATCCTCGAGGGTTATCAACTCATCAGTAACCTCCTCCTTCAACTCCTTCCTCTCACCCGATACAATCTCCCTCCACACATCATCCACAGTCTTGGGCGCGCCGGAGGAAGTATTGTGATAACTATCAATGACGGCAGAGGAATTAGTCGCATTCATGGGAAACGTAGAGGGGATAGGGTAATCAACAAGAGTGATCTGCGCATCTAAGAGAATAGACTCCGTGGGATTAGAATCATACCCATCACGAACTAAGCCATCGAGATTCATCGAGCTAAGACTATGGCTTCGATTGCGAGTCCGGTTGTTGTCATTATTCCTGGAACTATTGGAGAGAAATTGAGGGTTTAAAAGAGAAGCAGAAGAGGAAGAAGAAGAAGAACCTCGAGATAGATCCGAATTTCGCGAACTCGAAGATGCCCAGAGCTTGGATGATGCCATTTTTGTCCCCTAAAATAGGCAAGGAATTCGCGAAGATTCACTCGAAAATCAATGGGAATCTTTCAAGTAATACAACACAACAAGATTTTTGCGAGGAATTTCGGGGTGTCTGGATTGGGATTTGAGAGCGGCGAGGTTTTTGGGTTTTCGATTATGATTTTGGTCTCTGCGTGTGTGTGACTGTTGGGGCAGAGGAAAAAGGAAGATGGCGACTGAGAGCGTGAGAAGTTGAAGAGAGAGTGAGAGGAACAGGGAACCTGGATTAGCCGGTTGCCGGTGAAGGGCAAATGTAATTAGTAACTAGATTCGACCGGAAGTTTCTAGAACATTTGGGACCCTGTCGCAACACTTCCCCTCCCGACCAAAATTCTACTGTACACAACTATTCAATTACTGACAGTAAAAAAAGTGATTTTTCTTTTTTGTTGCGTAGGGTCATTTATTCTCGTCAATAATAATAATAATAATAAATATATTTATTTATTTATTTTTAAATATTTAATTAAAAATTATTTTAAAAAGTGGTTGAAACGTAAATAATCCAAAAAAATAATTATAAAATACTAACAAAAATATATATAATTGTATTGTATATAAAATATATTTTTTACAATTACGAATTTATTCCATTTAACCTAAAGAAACCAACTTAATTCATAAGCATTTTATTTATGACCTAATTTAAATTGTCCAATCAAATTGGGCTGAACTTTTACGAAAATTCCATGGTTTATGCATTTTTCGGAAACTCAAGTAGCTCATCAACCTAAAAAGGGATGTAAAACATAGAAAATCAATAGAACTGAGCTGAGTATAATAGAAATGGGTGGGTGTTGAACTCGGTCTCCCAGCTTCGCTCTAGAGCGAGGAGTGGCAAACACCTACCAAGGTGAGTGAGCTAATAAGATCGTTTTTAGGGCTCGTGAAGCTGCCCTTTTAAGCTTTTAAGTCAGCAGGGGGCTCTGACTCTGGATAGGATGTCAATCTATGGAGGCACCATTTGTTACTTACACAAAAATAGTAATTTAAACACAATAGTTATTTTTTTTAATTGGTCTAAAATATAAATATTTCTTTAAAAAGATTAAAAAAAATAAAACATTAAATGCTTATTATATAATTTTTTTTCTTAAAAGGATGAAATTAATTGAGGATAAATGAGGAAGAAATCAATACAATTTTTAAAACTAAAAAACAAAATCAAACTTATAATTAAAATTAAAATTGTAGTATTTGATTGGAGTGTTACGTTTCTTTAGGTCTTTTCCTTCTTGAATTTTCGACCACAAGATGCTATATTTCCATCCATTTGTCAACTATACTAATTTTGTCGTATGAAATCATTTACTTTAAATAGTTATTGTCTTTATCTACTATTCTAATTTTTTCCAAATATTCTAAATTTAAGTTTAAACACTATATAAGTTTGAAAATTTAAACCTCTAATCTTTTGGTCTAGGATGTTATTTGACCAGTTGATCTAATATTTCGACCAAAAATTTTGAAATTTTTATCTTAGAACAAACAAAGATTTACGATCAATAATTCAATCTCGAGAAATGAGTATTTCTTTAGGAATCTAAGTTTTAATTGGGACCATGTGTTTATGCTTGGCTTATATAACATATTGTTTAAATAAATAATAATCATATTTGATGGCTTGTACATCTTTCCTATAATTAGGCCAAAGATGGTAGCTAGCTTATGAATAAACCTCTAGGAAACCTTCCCCTAACACATAATACATACTCAAACCACACACTTTAAACTCTTTTTGGGCTCTCTCCTCGCTTGCTTCCTTCATTCCACAATTGAAAAAAAGAGTAGAAGTAATCAAATTCTACGTGTCTAAAAATCCAACGCCTTTTGCTTATTACTAAACATGATTAAAATTTATATCCCTATCATCACTAATAATCGAAACTTTTCATCTCTTTTTCACAAATAAAATTCTTGAGGCCGGTGTCATTTTCAATTTTGTCAAATAATAGAAATTTCAATTTTAATTCTAATATGTCTCTACACTTTAGAAAAGTGCCTAATAAAATTTCTATTTGTACCTTATAATTGACTATTAGCTTATTTGACATTTTAAAAAAATGTCTAATCTATTAGAGCATATCGCCTAAAGGCATGAAAACAAGCCCTAAAGTAAGGAAGATAGTCAGAAAGGGTGGGATAAGACAATGCTGTTAGATACAAAACTGATTGTTAAGAAAGTTAAACATGTTAAGAACCTAATAGATACAAAATTGAAAGTTCAGATAACGACAGCTTTGACATTTTTGAAGTCTAAGAATCAGATAATAAAGTTCACGAGCTTGTTAGATGAACTCAGATTATTTCAAAATTTTCGAGAAATTGTTTGATAAGGGGTGAAGCTTTCAAAGTTTGGGTATGACCACAAAACAACAAAGGGAAAGGGGAATCAAAACTTGTGCAATACTAAATAATCAACATACCCAAAAAAATGGAGTATTCTCCGGCAACCAATCAATTTGAACAAGCAACTCTTCCTTCTGCCTGGTTGGGTGCTTTTCCATATTATATATAAATAAATTATTATTACTCTTCTCAAACAAATTGTTGGCTTCTTCCTACTCAAGATTCAATTATGTGGACAAAATTTAGGGCTTCAAGATTCATTTGGATTTCGGTTTTTGCAGATGTGAAACACCAAATTAGAAACAAGCCTCAAAAAAGTTTCAATGTAAATGAAGAATACCTTTGTGCATTGAGGTCCAGATCCTTCGTTGAATTCTTCGCAAAAGCTCAATTGATTGTCCAGGAATCGCCGCCATCTACATCCTCCACCGGTCACCACTGCCGCAAATTTTCGGAAACGATCTTGCTGCAGATTGATCAATTAGAAGCCAATCCTTCGATTCTGGAATCGCCATTGCTTGTGATGTTGCCGGAGCTTAGAGGCCTCTTAATCGATTTCTTCAATGTTAGTGCGGAGGCTTCAAATCTCTGCCATCGTCTCCTTGCGAACCTCAAATTAGCCCGATCTAACTCGCGCTTCGTTCAAAAATTGCTCGATTCGATCGAGAAATGCTCTTCTCCGAAAGAAATTGAAACGATTACCTCTGATCTACTCGCGCAGAGAGCTCCATTGTCCGATCTCGACAAACGCGATTTCGCGCGAATCCACGACGACTACGCGGCGGTTTCGCGTAGTTTGAACATAACGAGAAAGAAGGTAGCGAGAAAGATCAGATCAATCAAAATCATCAATAAATGTACCTGTGGATTAGTCGCCATTACCTCCCGCGGTCTGACTGCCTTAGTAATGGCAGCCGATCAAGGTCCAGTACTTCGGTACTTCCGACTGAAATCCATCCGCAGAAAGCTTCTCCGGCATCAGATGCTTGGAAATGGCGGCCTTGAAAGAGTAGGCGAACAACTGGAAGCGGCAGCCAAGGGAAGTTACATACTGAACAGAGAGTTCGATACGACGAGCCGACTCGTAGTACGGCTTGGCGACGCCGTGGATCACGGAAAGGCAATGGTGCGGTTGTTTGTGGAAAGGAAGGAGGATAAATTTGCAGTTGCTGTAGCCATGGATGAGATGAAGAGGAGCAATGTGAGCATCAGAAAGCAAGTTGAAGACGTTGAAGAACACTTGTATTTGTGCATTGTGACCATTAACAGATCCAGAGCTTCTGTGATCAACCAAATGTGATAGCAACGGGACGGCGATCCAGAACGGGATTTGGGAATTGGGGTTAGGATGCCACAGATTTCTAGCGGGAAAATTTATTCACTTTTATGGAATTTATAATTTAAATTTAATTTTATTAGATTATTTATTATTACACTCACAATTAATACCATGATTTTAAAATATCAATATCTACCGAAATGTAAATTCCGAATATTATAAAAATGTTGTGTAAAATTTGAACTCTCAACTTTAAAATATATTATTCCTATTCAAGTTTTAAAAGTGGGTCGGCAAAAATTTTATTTTACACAATCTACCAGGCCCAGCGAGAACATTGGTACTCGTTTCCTTCTCTAATCGATGTGGGACCCCAATCCACCTCATTCAAGGTCCAGCGTCCTTGCTGGTACACTGTCTCGTGTCCATCTCCCTTTGGGGCTCAGCCTCCTTGTTGGCCCCAACGAGGACAATCTACCCCCATTGAGGCCCAACGAGGACGTTAGCACTCGTTTCTTTCTCTAATCGATGTGGGACCCAAATCCACTCCCATTCGGGGTCCAACGTCCTTGTTAGCACACCGCTCATGTCCATCTCCCTTTAGGTCTCAGCCTCCTCGCTGGCACATCGCCCGGTGTATGACTCTGATTCATTTGTAACAATCCAAGCCCACCACTAGCATATATTGTCATCTTTGGACTTTCACTCTCAGGATTCCCCTCAAGGTTTTTAAGATAGGGAAAGGTTTCCACACCCATATAAACAATGTTTGGTTCTCTTCCCTGTGGGATCTCACCAATTCTATATTTTGCGAACTCCTATGAATTTTCCTAGGATACATGTGAGTGAGAATAAGGTATGTTGTAAGAGCTCGTGTTGGTATATGAGAGAGAGTTTTCACTCTTAAGAAGCGAGAAATAGATAACGTGATCCAGTCGCCGAAGAATATCAAGGTCATCAGATATTGAATCCTTACTCACTTACTCCTTAAGAGATCAAGCACGTAACGCACAAACTATAAGAAATTAAAGCCATTTTAAAGCCAAGTTTGGACAAACCAAGAAATCCCATTAATGTATAGATGAAAAGATGATAGCACTATGAAGCACTATCATATCACTCATCAATTTAAAATCAATCTTATTATGGGGATTAGATCTTCAAGAATCAAGCTTCAATTCATGTGAAATTTGGTTGGCCCTTCAAGATTCAAGTTGGGTAAAATGATTTTGTAATCATTATTATTTTATCTCTTTCATTTTTCTTCTTATTATAAGCTAAGCTAATTAACACCCTAACATAACATAATCATTACATTAATTGATCATAAACATCCACTTTCATCACTAATTCTACTATATAGTAAACATATATTGTATGGTTTATATATAAATTCATGTATTAGACAGAGAAATAGAGAGCTTCATCCATGGTGGAAGGTGAGAGAAGGAAGGGAGATTCCGCCATGAAAGGCCAAAGAAGAAGCTTTTTGAGCTTTGTGAAGGGTAAAAGATGCAAAGATGGATGAATTTAGGGAGGATATATTTGATGCTCACTTCTCGTAAGTCTGTCACAATAGTTCTTCGTATGACTTGAACTACGAACATTATTTTTTTTATTTTTTGTGATTTGTACCTGTCTCTCTCGAGTTGTTTTGTTGTACCGATCAATTCTAGAGCCATTGGAAGGGATGGAAGAACGATCGAGGACGACTTTAACTTACCCTACGCAACTATCTCAAACTATTTTATTTCCCTTTTAATAGTAATCTCTTATATATACGTTTAACAAATTACGTGTATAGTTTAGTAGTATAATTGTAATCAATAAATATTCATTTGATAATGTCTTAATAGAAATATATTTCCTTACTTTTAGAGTAACTAATTGATCAAAAAGTGTCGGTATTTAGTTGTTTTTAGTTTTATGACAATGTTGAATAATATTAAAATACTATCCTTAAGCAACAACCCAATCCATACCAACATGAACATTTTCGGGTTGGATTGTATTACTAATCCAACCAACCTGAATTTTGCGCTGGTCCAAAAACTTCCCTGGACCCAACCTAACCCAACCCATGTGTACCCCGTTCATGGACACCCCTAGTGAAAATATAAATTATGGTCCAAAAACTTCCGTCGACCCAACCTAACCCAACCCATGTGTACCCTATTCATGGACAACCCTAGTGAAAATATAAGTTTCGGTCCAAAAACTTCCCTTGACCCAACCTAACCCAGGTGTACCCTGTTCATGGACACCCCTAGTGAAAATATATCAATAACTCGGACGGACAAAGTATTTTATAAAAACCATTCAAATAAACTAAGAAAAAAAAAATTAAAAAAATAAATGAAATAAAAAAAATAAAATAAAAAAAAGGAGAAAAGATAAGAAATTGTTATAATTCTTTAATAGAACTGCACACAAACAACAGCATCCTATCAAAACACTAAGGAAAAACCACTAATTTCCAACTAAATTTTTTCTTCATTTCTTCTGAGTTCCTTCTTTTTTTTCTGGTCTTTTTCTTGCTATTCACATGCCAATTTGGTGTCAAAGCTGCTGAGACATATAGCAAAAGCCTGGAATGCAGACAGCGGGTATCGATAATCCATCGTAAATATGTCCTTACCGACCTTCCCGAACTGCAGAATGATCTTGTCGTGGTCGGAATGCATAGGTTGGGCGGGCTGGGGAGGTGGCTGTGATGGTACAGACACTTCTGCATCAGGTGACGTTGCGGCGATCAGCTGAAAATTCTTTACAGATGCAACCGTCACCCTCCCCCGGAAGTTGAGACACCAACACTGCAACTGCTCGTGCCATCTTGGTGCCTTGTTTCGGAGAATCAAGGGTATGTCTATGTCCTTCCTCTCGCCATCTTCATCAGCAAGCATTCCTGCAACATCGGAGAAGCGGGAACTGCTGAACTCAGTTGAATGATCGATTGACTTGGAGAATGAAATGCTTCGAAATGAGTCTTCGAGGGGGCGAGGATTGAGCTCGGGCTGTCCTGGAACGGAGGAATCTGGCTCAAGAGATGAAGTCGGGATCGAGTACATGGTGCAGTTCATCCTCCGGGGTCCCCTTGTACCTAATACGTTCAACTCGTATGCAATTTGTGCTATGCTGTAGCTACCCGCCGGTACCTTTGGAGAGACCTTTTTGGAGGAGAATCTCCGGCTTCGGCCAAGGGTCGGAATTTGGTTGCTGTTGTAAGGAAGCTGTGTATCATATATAATGAACTTGGTTCCCAGAAAATTTGATCTGAAACAGAAAGCCAATTACAGTTCATTCTCATTTTCCCAAATTTATGTGAAGTGGTGATGTAACGGTCCAAGCCCATCGCTAGCAAATATTGTCCTCTTTGAGCTTTCCGTTTCGGGCTTCCCTCAAGGCTTTAAAACTCGTCTGCTAGGGAAAGGTTTCTACACCCTTATAAAGGGTGTTTCGTTCTCCTCCCCAACCGATATGGGATATCACAGGTGATCATAGTTCAGCTGAGTCCCAAAAGTTCATAAAAATGCCTCAGATCAAAATGAACCTGAAAATTAAAGGTGCACCAGCAGCATACCTTAGCTTTCCGATATAACCATTGCTCGATCTCGATATATCGTCCGCAGCCAATGATATAACATACTCGGTCGAAGTAGTTCTCCTCGTTCTTTTTGCAGAAAGAAGAAATTTCCCATTCTCAACAAGTAAAGCTGCATTGTTATGCAATGGGATAAGTGTGGGTAGGGCAAGATAAAGCGACTGACGTAAAACGTTACTCGGCATCCATATTATGTGAGATATGTCGGCTTTCATTAAGCCAACAAAGCTTACAAACAGAAGTCAAAACGATAAAATTTCGATTGTACGTGCAGGCATAACTTGTATAAACATTCGACTTCTCACTGAAAGACGATATGCCAGTACTCCACGACCACGTTACCATCCTTACAAAATGCTAACTCCGTTTTGAATGAACAAGTAAAAAATTGTAACATCCCAAGCCCACCGCTAGCAGATGTTGTCCACTTAGGCCCATTACATATCGCCCTTAGCCTCACGATTTTAAAACACATCTGCTAGGGAGAGGTTTCCACACTCTTATAAGGAATGCTTCGTTCCCCTCTCCAACCGGTGTGGGATCCCATAATCCACACCCCCTTTGGGAGACAGCGTCCTCGCTCGCACACTGCCCAGTGACTAGCTCTGATACCATTTGTAACAACCCAAGCCCACTGCTAGTAGATATTGTCTGTTTTGGCCCGTTACGTATTGCTCAGTCTCACGGTTTTAAAACGTGTCTGCTAGGGAGAGGTTTCCACACTCTTATAAGGAATGCTTCGTTCCCCTCCCCAACCGATGTGGGATCTCATAATCCACCCCGCTAGGGGGCTCAGCGTCCTTGCTCGCACACCACCTAATGACCGACTCTGATACCATTTGTAACAGCTCAAACCCACTACTAGCAGATATTGTCCGTTTTGGCCTCACGGTTTTAAAACGCGCCTGCTAGGGAGAGGTTTCCACACTCTTATAAGAAATGTTTTGTTCCCCTCTCCAACCGACGTGCAATCTCACGAAAACGGTTTTGAATCTTGCCAAAGGCTTTCCTCAAGCTTTGTTTCAATGTTACCCCCCATAACCGTGCTAAGCCAAGCATAGAGCACGGGAACGAAGGCTACCCCCTTAGTTCAGCTTCCCTACTAAAACGTGGGCATCTTTAATAATATGAATAACCACAATTTCAAAAGAATTTGTGAACCAATATTGATATGGAAAAGAAATTGCAGCAAACAAGGAACTTAAGTTCAAGATAATAGGTTCAAGAACATTGCATATTAAGAAAGTGAGCTTACTAGGACTAAGGCAAAGATAAAGATGATAGGTTAAATTAGATTTGTTCCTCTTGATGAAGCATTGAATAGTACCATCACGAGGTCCGGGCTGCCAAAAAAAGAGTGCATATCAGCACGATTAAGCTATATAATAGCGTTGGTCGCATATAGACATTGAGCAGTCAAGCATATACCAACCTGCTTCAAGGCGATGGGGAATGTAATTTTCCCGGAGAACTCGGGACTTTTGACGATTTCTTTGCACACGTCCCTCCATGACCTACATACAGCAGCACAAGCAACAACATTTCTCCGAGAAGGCCAAGTATTCTCGCTTGCTTCTAGTCTCTGAACCACATCCAATAATAACTCGGGCGGAAGGCTAGCCCAGCGGCTAGTTTGGATTAGCAGAGGTTCATCATCAAGCTCATGAACTGGTCCATGAGATTTACCCCTGGAATGGCTAGACAGCCTCAGTTCAAAACTACGTCGCGATAAGCTTCCAAATCCATCCCTCACATCACGAAGTATGCTGCGGAATGACATTTACTCGTTTTACAAAAGGCCTAATCGTGTTGATGTATCTTTGAGGAGAGAGTACGAACAAAAAGGCGGTTGAAGAACGACAAGAAATCCATCTGCAAATTCACTAAACGTCGATTAATTTCGATTAACCATACTTAATAAACAAGAAAGAAAGGGAAGGAGATGGGTTGAATAAAGCAAAAAGCAAGGAAAGAAGATTCTTCAAAAGAACAAAAGCAAACTAAAGATGGACCCCTAAAGCAGCATAAAATACCACTCTTTTGGTTGGCTCTCTCAATTTTGACACAAAACCAAATTACCATTGCTTGATACCAAACTTTCTATAGTACCATTTAATTCAAATATGGAATCTTATTACAACCAAGAACGAGCAAATATTGTTCTCTTTGGACTTTCCCTTCCGGGCTTTCCCTCAAGATTTTAAAATGTGTCTGTAGGGAGAGGTTTCCACACCCTTATAAGCAATGTTTCGTTCTCCTCCCCAACCAATGTGGGATCTCACAATCCACCTCCTTAGGGGCCCAACGTTCTCGTTAGCATACCGCCTGGTGTTTGACTTTGATACCATTTGCAACAGCCAAAACCTACTACTAGTAGACATTGTCCTCTTAGGGCTTCTTTAAAACGTGTTTGTAGGGAGAGGCTTCTACACTCTTATAAGCAAGGTTTCGTTCTCCTCTCCAACCGATGTGGGATCTCACACATTCTAACGCTTCAAAAGGAGCATCCAGCACAATATCGTCAAATTTCCCACCTCGCACAGTTTTCTTTCCAATAAGAGCTTTCCCAGAGGTTTAAGAGTCAAGAAAACTCCAACATTGGGTATAGTGTTCTTTACTCTGATTCAATAATCCAATAATTTGAAGAAGAAAACGATGGAAAAGATAAGCAAACCTCAGTGATGATCACAGATACATTGTTTTACCACTAAATCTTCCACAGATCAACAAGGAACACACAAGAAAAGGAAAAGATCAAAGCCTAGCAACAAAACCCAGCAACAATGCTAGCTTCTAAACACAAACTAATCTAAGAAACCATAAATTCAAGATCAAAGAGTATAAATTCAAGAAAAACAGCTAGAGAATTCCAATACAAATGAAAGAAAAAAGGCTCAGATACCAGCAAATGAAGAACAATTGCACAAGCTTTGGATTGGGGCAGGACCCAGTTGAAGATAACCCGCTAAGAACCTCCATAAACCAGAATCACATAAACTTCTTACAGCAAAATCAATTGATAACAAAAAGATAAGAAACCCCACAAGGAATTGAGATGGAAAATTCAGTGATTAGAGCAAAAAAAACACATGGGTCATGAAGATTTGAAGATGTTATCGCAGAGGAAACACAGAATCAAGAACAGAAGAAAAGGAAATTAGGAAACCCCATCTCTAGAAAACGATAAATTCGTTCAGTAAAACAAGAAAAAATGCGAGCAGTAGAAGGCGGCCATTGCTTAAGCGAAAAGGCAAGTTACTACTCACCGTTTCTTCTTTAGCTTCGAAGGGAACCCAGCAGAGCCCCAACTTTTTGCTCTCTCTCTCTTCAAGACCGGACTTCAATTCCTTTCTCTTGGATCGAACCCATGACCTGTATATGTCTACAATTCAATAAAGTTTCTTCTTTAATTTACTTTTTTTTGTCTCCCGTTCAATTAAACAATTTAATAATAAATAGTTTCTTACCCAAACAAATCCCTCTATAAATTCTCAAAATTTCATTAATTTCATTAATTTCTCGAGCTAAAAGTTGAAAGTTTGAATCTTTTATCTTCATAGTTACTAATTAAAATTATTTTTTTCGTATAATAAAGAACAAAACAAAACATTTTTTTTAGGGAAATTCTGTTAAACTATTTGGTTCCTCCCCTTAAACTTTTATTACATTTTCTTTTTAGAAATAGATGGAGAAGACAGTTATGGTGATATGATAGAGATAATAATTACATCTATAGAAAAAAATAAATATATTATCTTTAGAAAGTGAATTTACAAAAATACCCTTGAACAGCTGACCGTTAAGTTATGGTCCTCCTCTATTAGCTGACGAAGCAGAAGTTTGGAAGGAAGGTTAGAGAGAGCGCGCATTTTCTAAACGTTAACTTAAGGTTAACGACACGTTAAATGGTAAACGACGTTAAAGAAGGTGGGGGAGAGAGGACAGTTATCAGACACGTTGCAGGTCAAGGTTTTTTTTTGTGTGGACGCATTTTTTTGACATTAATTTGACGAGTGATGACATCATTTAATTCATCACAGATTTATTAATCCACGTAAAGACATTGATTATGTATTTTTTTTTCATTTTTCAAATATATAATTAATTAAAATATCATTTTCTCAGTCCATTTTATTATTTATAAGTTGAAAACATATTCGATAAAAAAGTAAAAAATTTAAGTTCATATTAGACAATATATATATATATATATATATATATATAAAATAATTTTATTTTAGTTAAATCTAATTTTTAAAAATAAAAATTCAAATAATTATTAATGGGGCTTTTAGACATTTTAACTCTGATTTTTAATAAATCCATTATTATTATTAGTTAGAAAATTATTCTATACGAAATATATTAATTAACTTGAACAAAAAAAAATTATTTATTATTTAAACTATTATTTTAATATTAATATTTATTTGGTTGATATGATTTATAGGGGTTGATTGACGTGGAAATTTGTGTATTTATTTATTTTTGTTTTAAAATTTTAAAATAATCTCTAAACTTTACATTACAATTTCATTTTCATCGTTAAATTTTTATATTACCATATTTTTACATTGTAAAATGTCTTTTCTTTCACTTGATTGCTAGTAGATTAGAATGCATGAGTTAAAAAGAGAACTCTAATAGTATAGGAGAAAACTCGAGACAGGGTTCAATTTAGCAACCATTTGATCGTGTCACGTGATCGAGCATATGTAACCCTTAAAGGGATATAGTTATTATAGGACCGTGCTCATAGCTAGTAACATTAGATTGTCGTTTGACAAATGTGAGGTATAATGAGTCGTGCTAGCGTACAACTTTTAGAATAACTTTATAACCAATAGTGTTAGGTAATATTGAGTACTATATTGAATTTTTTTCGCCTTTTGATACTAAATAATTATGGTTTAAAGTGGTCGATAATTTATTAAGATAGCATATTTTTTTCATTATAATTATTATGACTTATTTGGATAAAAAAAATGTGAAATAATTTTAGGTGTTTAATAAGGTAAGAGACAATGCATATGGGATATTAAATAGGGACAATTTGGGAATTAGATTTCTCCAATATTTTGCAATCATATGGTCCACGAGATGATAATAATTTGTGTAACATGTCTGAGTGGCAAGTTTTGATTGGTTCAAATAGTATTATTTGTCATAATTTCCTTTAGTTTACAATTTTATAATTATGATAGTTAACCAATAAATTCAATGTAAAAAAAAAAATTATGAGTTCTTGTGGTATTTATTTTACGATTCCAAACACAAATGGGTTCTAAAGACAAGTAGCTCGGCCACACGTACTTTATGTCCAAATTGTGTTCACTTGGCCCAAATTGGATATACGAATCCCTTCGACATGAATTCAGATGTTCATATAGTATTAATTTTGAATTTTTTGGCCATTTTCATTGTCTCTCTTGTTACAAGATCGAGCGTTCGTATGAGTTTCGTTCAGTTGGCGTGGGTTGTGTGTAGTTGGTTCGATGGGCTCACAATTTCCATCTAGGCTTCTCCTCCCTGTTCGTACCCGAAATTAGTTTCAACCAGTACTATCTCCTTCTCTTCTACTTCTCACAACTGACAATTTATTGTGCTTTGTCCTATAGAATTGACACGATGGCGAGAACATTCCATAGCAATACTATTGAGATAGTGATGGACTGAAATCTTGCTTACAATTGTTTGGTTTGAATAGGATCAGATCTCAAATTTTGTTTCTAATATTGAGGATTTAAACTGTTTATTATACCTTAAATTCTCCTTTTTGCTATATTCGAACGTCCATATCATGCACGTTTTTATTAGAAATTCTTTTATATTCAGTTCACTAAATGAGATCGTTTCACATATAGAAACCTGACCCTCGAATATTAAATAAGTTTGTTTGTTCTTTACAATTGACATAAACCTAAGTCATCCACTAAATAGAATGACCGAGTCATCCATTAAGATCATAAGAGGGCTAAACAGCAAGGGGCCATAAGTTAATGAAAGTGACATATGGAATAATCTATTAGATATTAAGATGGTGATGATCATAGGATGAATTAGCAAATGGAGGCTGAATTGGTTTCCTCTTTGATATCAACTCTTTGTTCAATTGCTTCACTTTTGATATCTTCTTCTTTGTTCTTCCCCCATAGAACACAATAAAGCCCCACCACCAGCAATATAGCCCCACCAACACTGCCACATTTCAATAAAAATTCAGTCTTTTCATGGTTTTTATTTGATTTTTAACCTTATTTTCTGCTAAATTTCAAGGATTTGTGTTCTTTCTTCCCTTTGTTTTGTTAGTTTATGATTATATTTAGTGGTAGAAGTTAGAGCAATTGATCACCTTCCCCAATGAAGGGCTTCCTTCCATACCAATGCTGAGAAAATTGCCGTTATGATTAGTGCTAATGGTGTAAACATGGCTGTGAATACTGGTCCTTTCTTCTCTACTGTCCATATTTGTAGCCAATATGTCATTCCCGTCACGATCACACCCTGTAATTTTAAACCCTTCGTTAGATAGACGGTCAAACTCGAAAGCTTAAGATAGTAGATTAAGACGAGAGACTATTAATGTGAGATCCCATATCGATTGATGTAACGGTCTAAGCCCACTGCTAGCAGATATTGTCTTCTTTGAGCTTTCTCTTTCGAACTTAGGTTTTTAAAACGCATTTGCTAGGAAGAGGGTTCCACACCATTATAAAGGGTGTTTCGTTCTCCTCCCCAACTGTGAGGAGAACGGAGCATTCTTTATAAGGGTGTAGAAATTTGTTACTAGTAAACGCGTTTTAAAACCTTGAGAGAGCTCGAAAGAAAAAGTTCAAAGAGAATAATATTTGTTAGCGGTTGGTTTGGGTCGTTACATTGGTATCAAAGCTAGACACTAGGCAGTGTTCCAACAAGAACGCTGATCCCCAAAGAGGGTGGACACCAAGCGGTGTGTCAGCAAGGACGCTAGACTCCAAAAGAAGGTGGATTGTGAGATCTCACATTGATTAGAGAGATGAACGAGTGCGAGCGAGGATGCTGGCCCTAAAGGGGTGGATTGTGAGATTCCTCAATGACTAGAGAGAGGAATAAGTGTCAACGAACGGGAGTGGATTGTGAGATCTATATTGACTAGAAAGAGGAACGAGTACCAGCAAATGACGCTGGGTCCTAAAAGTGGTGGATTCTGAGATCCCATATCGGTTGGGGAGAAGAGCTAAACATTATTTATAAGGATGTGAAAACCTCTCCCTATAAGAACGTTTTAAAACTTTGAAGGAAAGCTCGAGAGATTTTTACGCAATAAGCAACAGAGAAGAGTTGAAGATTCCATCCAAGCTTCCAAGCATCAGCCTTTCTCTCCATCGCCACAGCCCACAAACCTGATTGTATCAAGCTGAAGAAGCACTGCAAACTTGTAATCCTCAATTTTGCTGGATATTCCTTCACAATGGAGGCCTTAAAACAAAACACCAAAATTCCTTCAAAACTCCAAAACCCCACAAACAACTTCAAAAATTTGAGCCAAAACAAACAGAATCAAACCTGCAAAACAAGCCACAAAGACCAAGCAATATTGGCTGAAAGCATAACAAATGAACCCTTAATCCATTCCGAATCCGAGTACCCTTGAAACGAATTAGAGGCCATTTTAGCCGTTTGAGCGTTTTGTGGGTACCAATTCATGAACTTCATCGCTGGACCCTTCACAAAAGCATACACCAAAGCCCCAGAAAAACCTATCACAGCCCCGACCAATTTCGCTATCCCTTCCATCTTCCTCACAGAAATCACTTCATATCTGTTAAACCAGAGAACGAAACATTTTAAAATTTTTAGAGGGGACAATATCTACTAGCAGTAGGCTTGAACTATTATTATTACCCGAAGAAGAGAGCAAAAAGGAGTGTTACAGCGGGGATGGTGTTGGTTGTAGCGGCTGCGAATGTTGCTGATATGTGGTTGATAGCTATGTAATAAAGGTTTAAACTCGAGGTGATTCTGAAAAAAAACAAACAAAAAAGTGATTTTTTTGGAAATGAATTTAAGATCAAATTATAAAGATTAGAATTTGAAGATTATTTTGCATACCCACTTAGAGAAATCAAGAACACTTTGAAGAGAAACTTGAAGGATAAAGGAACTGCCTTCTTTCTGCAACAATT